AGTGTTATGGTTTGTGTCTAGTTGTCTCCCCAAAGCTTCATGTAGTCATGGGGGCAGGGACTTCTAGAGTTTGAGATTAACTCATGATCCACTGGAATTATGTGTGATCCAAGGCTGGTATTACGGGTCCGAGTACTGCTGAGATTGTGGATGTGAGTGCTACACCTAGCCTGGGGTAGATAGCCCGACTGTAACATAAGGGAGACAGAGAGACTGACTTCCTCTCTGTTGCCATGTGTTGCTGCATCTCTTCCATTTTGCTCTCTTGCTCTTTGCCACAGCCATGAAAGTTTGCTCTGCCATGGGCCTGTATGTTGTTTTAATTTACCAATCTCTACCATCAGAAAACCCATTTGACTGTTACAAAAGCAAGAGCTTGACTATTTTTCAGCCTGTGCTTTATCAGAAATTTTTCCCTTCCCGCTCCTCCAAAACTTCTCCTTTGCCCATAATGGTAGTTAATTTTAGCCTCTCCTTTCTCCCTCTATCTCTCTTAAAGACTCTATGTACACTTTTACAAGTAAACCTAATCAAACAAGTAACATAAAAAATAAATTGACCAAAAGCAGGTTTAAGAAGCTAATAAACAAACAACAACAAACCATGAAAGTCAGCTGTTGAAGAATAACTACCAGTAGGTGAACAGTGTTCCAAAACAAAGTTCTGAATAACTTTTTTGGTAGGCAGTACATTTTGCTTTATAATTTTTGAAACTTATTTTATTCCATATATTTTGCTTGAATCAATGAAAATGGATAGCTGCCAGAATTTTTGAGAACACAGTATCTTTATCTATTATGTTTCTATAAAATAATTTAATGCAGGTAGAAATAAATCATAATCACTATAGTAAAGTGGTCAAAGGTCTGATTTAGGGGTCATATTATCCACGTCCAAGTCCCATCACTTCTACTTACAAACAGATTTTGGGTAAGTTACTTAGCTGACCTGTCATTCATATTCCTCATCTGTAAAATATGGAAATAATGGTATTTAACTATTAATTAATGTGACATTACAATAAGGACAAAATAAATCAACAAACCTAAATTGTTTAGGGTTAGTACCTGATGCATGGACAATATAATTATTAATTGTACAACTTAAATTTATAACTTAAAATACTACGCCAAAATATAAACATGGTAAGCTTCATTCCCTCATTTATTATGCCAATTTATCCTATTTTTATTCCTCAATTTCAAAGGAAATAAGTCACAATAAACATTTCCTGGATCTGGGGAGATAGCTCAGTAGAATAAACCCCTGCCTGGCAAGCGCAAAGCCCTGAGTTTCATCCCTACTACTGAAAACAAAAGAAATCTGTATCTATTTAGTAGACAATTTTGAAATGCCAGGGAGATAGCTCAGTAGAATAAATGCTTGCCTGGTAAAAGAAAAGAAGAAAAGAAAAGAAACTGTGGAACACATTCTTCGGTTTTGCTACATGCCAATTATTAAAAGAAAAACATCCCCAAAACAGACCATCACCTCTCACCAACTTTTCTTTAAACTCTTCCTGTCTAGACTCTAGAAAGTTGGACCTTATTAATAGTCAAAAATAAGATGTTTACTAGTTTTCCTAATTCTTAAATAACCAAAGATAAAATATTAATTTCCTAATTCTTAACTATGGCCTACAAAATCTAATTGTGCACAAAACCTAGAATTCTTTGTACATATACCAGGAACAATACAATACAGGCTTCCAATTTTTAGGAAAGCAACTGTTATAACCCAAAATCTAAATATTAATGATTTTGTTCCAAACCTTAGTGTCAGTGATTGTTCTTTTTGGCCAGCCAGCTCAAGATCCCAAATGTAGTCTGTATGTACGAGTGGAAGCAAATGCAAAGGCAGCAGAGCCAGAGCCCAAAAGAACTGGCTCTAATCAGTATAAAGAGCTCTTTATTATTTAAATAGCAAAATACTTTTGGAAAAACAACCAAGCAGTGTTAATTTATCTAAAATTAAATAATAATTAATAGCAAAAAAAACTACAATATGTCAAGTAAAAGGTTTTTGTACTTCAATCAGCATGCGAATTGCACATATGAAATAATTTCAAACTCTAATTACCCTTTCAGGCATGCATACAAGCCTCAGCACAAAAAATGTGAGGCACAAATGTACTCACATTCCAGCGATTCTGGGTATGTAAAACTAGAATCTTAGGCTTTCTTCACATTTCTTGATTTTTATTTATAATTGCAATATATTACTTTTACAATAAAAATATATTGAAACAACTCCTAAGTTATCCTTCTTTGAACAAAACCTTTAAAAATGAGGGGAAAAAACTGTAGTATCTCTAGACATGTGCTCAATGAAAACATACCTTAAAAACAATTCATGATTATTTGACTCAGCTTAATCCATAAGGCCCATTTCCCTCTGATGGTATATCTACTTGAAATAATTTATATTAACAATTTATGTTATCATAGGATTAATAACTAATTTAAAACCTGCCAGTGAAATGAACAGGTACTTCTCAGATTAAGAAAGACAGACAACAAAGAAAAATATGAAAAAATGTTCAACATCATTGGTCATTTGAGAAATGCAAATCAAAACAATACCAAGATTCCATTTCACTCCAGAAAGAATGACCATCATCAGAAATCACCCAATAACAAACGCTGCAGAAGCTCTAGGGAAAAAGGAATCCTTCTCCATAGTTGTTGGGAGTGTACAACGGTACAACCACTATGAAAATCAGAATGGAGATTTCTCAAAAATCTAAAAGTAGTGTTCTACTGGACCCAGATGTGCCCCTTTTCAGCACCTTCTGAAAGAGTGAAAAGCATCACACCATAATGACATAAGCCTAACCATGTCATAGCAACACAATTTATAACTGCTAAATAGTAGACACAGCCCATGGGCCCAACAACAAATGAAAAAGAAAATGTGGCATTACTACACAATGCAGTGCTACTCTGCCATCCGGAAGGACAGACTGGAGTCATTTTAGGAAGATGGATGCACTTGAGACCATAATCTTAAGTGAAATAAATCAGACCCACAAGCTCAAATATCACACAGTTTCTCCGTTGTGAGAAACCCAAATGATAAACAGGACCATAATGGAAGTTAAATACTGAGAAGTAGGAAGAACATGTTCAAATGGGAAGCGGGACAGAGGGACGGCAATGGGGAGAAGAAAAGAGGGGAAAGGAAAAAAAGAGAATGGAAGGAGAAAATGGCAACAGAGCTTCATAAAAGGGAGGGGGAGAAGAAGGAGAATGTGAATAAAAGGACTAGGGCCAATTATGTACAGGTATAAATTCCCTATCATGAACAAGATTAATACGTATGACATTGGTACTAACAGAAAAGCAATTTGATCTTGTTAAGAAATAATCTAACAATAAGAAACCTTAGAAATTATCCAGCTAAGTGGGATGTCTGTTTTCTTTTATTAGTGTATGAAGTGACATATAATAAATACATTCATCATGGAGAACTGATACATATAAAAAATAATAATAATAATAATCTAATTTACTAAAAATATTTATGGGGCCGGGGAGATGGCTCAGTAGGATAAGCGCTTGACTGGCAAATGCAAGGATCTGAGTTCAATCCCCAGTTCTGAAAAATAAATAAATAAATAAATAATTGTTTATTTATTTTGGTACCAGAGATCAAACTCAAGACCTTGCACTTGCAAGGCAGTAGGCTATGTCCCT